CATGTTAAGTATTCTAAACATCATGTCAAAAATGCAAGGGGCCACTCTCATCAAAGCGAGGGAGGTAGCCTCAAAAATCTTGGTCCGTTCTGGTGAAGAACACGGGGGGGCTTTTCATTCCTGCCCCTCGGAAGTTTCTTGGCCTGCACTGGTAATGCACGCTCGCTCTGCTGCCGTGGAAAGTCAGTTCGTCGCTGGGGCATCCTTCTCCTGCAAGAGCTGGAAACTGGGCCCAGTGAACATCTTGGTAGTCGCTTCATGCTGTGAGGCTTCGGCGAACGGGGCGGCATAAAAATGTTTTAATAAATAAATAAAAATAAATAAAAAGGGTAGCACTGCCCAGGTGTTCCGGTACTGCTGTGGCCAGGAATGGGTGACCGTCGATATTCACCAGCTGCAAAATTTCAGCTTGCCCAGAGAGTTTACAAACAAACCCAAGGCACAGCTCCTCGTACCAATGAAAACATCTGTTAAAACTGCTTAGCATGTCACTGTTAGTCCAGGGAACTGGAGAAAAGAACGGCACGTCCTAACATATGATTTAGCCTTGGTGCTTTAATGAGGGTTTCTATAAAAGACGAAGAAACAAATGAGCAGCCCCCTGCTCAAATGTAAAATTCTGCAAAACCATTAAGAGGACAGCATACTCTTTTACCAAGAAGCCTTTTCCATCTTATAAAAGCGCACAGTAGGAGACAAAACCAGGGAATAAAGCAAAGGTCTGGGAGATCACATTATCTTCCCTTTCACGCATGCTCTGAAGCCTCACAAACGGCCAGGCAGAACTGTGCTTTTAAGGCTGACAGGCACATGAAGGGGCTGAAATCTGCATTTTAGTCCCCACATAACCATGAACTTCACCGAGTGACCCTGGGCCATCACTGACGCTCAGCCTACCTCACAGGGTTGTTGTGAGGATAAAACAGAAGAAGATGGCTAGGTGATCCACCTTGGGTTCTTTTCAGGAAAGGTGGGGAAAGAATAAATGGAAACCACAACGTTGCTTGAGTCCTGTAGCCATGCACCAAAGGAGCCCCAAGCCGTGTGGTCAAGATCGTGGAAAGGTGGGTTCGGATGCATGCATCGGAGCAGGGTCTTCTGGGACCACCTTTGGTTATTAACGCGACTCTGCGCAAGCACTGGAAAGCGACAAAGTGCGTCTAAGAAACTTTGCCTTCAAGTTGTACTTGTGACCATCCGCACAACCTTTCACCATCCTCTCATGCTCATAACTGAAGTGGTTCAGCCATGGCTGAAGCATGGCCTTTTCCTAGCATATGGGTCCATCAAGGCAAGGATTTTAATCTACATTAGTTGCTGCGGTGGGATTGGCCATTGTTCTGACTGATGCATGCAGAATCCTGGACTGTTCTGCAACATGACTGCATAAGCCATGGTTTGCCAATCGTAGGTTGTTAGGAGCATGCAGGCCAAGAGCAGGAAGAGTTCTATCTCTGGCTTGTTTCTCCAAGAAGAACCCAGAGTTCCAGGTTCAGATGTAACAGAGAGCACCTTAATCCTAACCCTCCAACAAACCACGGTTTGTTAACCGTGGGTTTTTCAGTGCTTGCGAAACAGAGAGTAATGTGGCATAAGGTTAATCTGCTATTCCTTAAACAGACAATGGTGCAAAGAAATAAGATGCCTTCACCCTTTTTGCGCTCCCTTTAATACTTTTTACTTCCTTGATGAACTAATATTTATAGGCAGAGACAAAACCGAAAAAATTACAACATATAACCACAAACACCAGTATGAAATCCAAGTTTCTTTGAACAGAGCACAGAGGAAAATAAACTCTGAAGGTACAGGTCCATTTCAAACTGAAGGAAGAGGAATAAAACCAAAGAGACAGAAGAAAATAAAACCATGACTTGACTTTAAAGCCCTGGTATTTTTGTTTAAAGTCTTTGCCTCGCTACAGGAAGATGCTAAAGTAGGAAACAAGCAGGTTTCTTTGGAAAGGGTCTTCCACAACCACAGAAATGGTCCTGGGATCTCTTTTGGATATCAATTTTAAAAGGGAATAATAGTAAACTCTTCACTGTTGTGTGTGGAAATCATGTTATTTCCTAGTCCCTCTGAAGGGAAAAAAAGCTGTGATCAGAAAATCTTACTTGGGGAGCACTGTTGATAACCAAGTGGGTATGAGATTTCTTATCCCATCTCTTGTCCACAGGCAGTTCCTAAGTATCTCTTAGTAAAGATGTATTCATGGATAGAGCGACTCTAGTAGTAAACAACAGAATGTGCATTAGCTGAAAAAGAAGCCTGAAAGGGGGAGAGGGGAGTTGGAAAAAGGGGGAAGTTAGAACTTCATGCTTGGCTATAGGAGTACATCCAGTCCCTCTTTCTCACTTATCAGAAATGTTAGATTATGTGAAGAAAGCTCTTTAATAACATTACCTTCCTGAAATGCAGCGAACTATCGCTCCACTTCCAGTTTCGGTTTACTGTTTAACCAAACAAGTCATAACAAAATGATGTTTTGGCCAACTTGGTTTTACTGCTAGTTACAAAACATTATTTTGGCATCAGCTTAAAAAAAAGAGAAGTAAATGTTATCAAAACAAGAGTCTGTGCTTTCCAGAAGGGAGGCAAGGTAATGGAACTGCAGCGACGATGTTAGCCTATTCACAGCCTACAGTCATCTATCTGAACAACCCCTTGGGTTGCTACTGCAAAATTCAGTAAGTCTTCCGGGCCACAAAGAAGACATTTCAACTCTGACTCACTGACCTGGTGTGCTAAACTGTCAGATTCAGCATTCTGTGCAAAGCCCACGAGGAGATCACACTTGCAAACACGCTGCCTCAGTAGCAGAAAAACAGAAGAAGAGGTTAAAATCCTTGAGGCAAAAGCATGGGAATTTACACCGTCTTCCTCGGGCTGCAAAACGATAAAAAACACACCTCGCAAGCAAAGGATTCTCCCGCGCGAGAGGAGCACTGCAGCCAGCAACTGAACCCTGAATGGGATAAATTTAACCGTGAATTTAACCCTCCACCTGGCCCATGACAGCAGAACTATCCAGAACAGGTGAGAGATGATCCGATGGAGCAGACGGCACAGGACATGGGGTCGTTTTGCCAGTGCATTCCAGAAAAAAGTTGATTCCACTCTTGATTTGCTTCACCAAATTTCATCTCCCTCATTTTGATGGGCTTATACTTGAGATCTCCTGACACACTGTATATTTAGGTACATGCATGCAGAAACAGCTCCAGCATGCATGGGAAAAACACATTCATTGTGCAGAGATACCTCTGTGATAGCCGGAATTACTCCCTTTGAGGAATGGCATGCTGAGGCCATTCCAACAAACCTGAATTTGTTGCTGTGAAATTTCTGAACAGTCCTTTGAGGCATTTTAGCGACTGAGATTCAAGACCCTCTGTCCTATATGGCATGAGCCATTCAGCTCATCTTGCGCCTTCCAGATATGTTTGGATTCCAACACTTGGAATTCCCAGTCAGTGGCGCTGCTGGATGGGAATTCTGGGAGCTGAGATCCAAAAGCCTCTGAAGGCCACCTTATTGGAGAAGGCTGATCTTTGTATGGATAAAGGTAAAGGCTTCCCCTTGACGTTATGTCCAGTCATGCCTGACTCTAGGGGGCGGTGCTCATCTCTGTTTCCTAGCCGAGGGAGCCAGTGCTTGTCCGCAGACAGTCTCCGTGGTCATGGGGCCGGCATGACTAAACACCGAGGTGCACGGAGCGCTGTTACCTGCCCACCGAAGTGGCGCCTTTTCATCTACTTGCATTTGCATGCTTTCGAACTGCAAGGTTGGCAGGAGCTGGGACGGAGCAACGGGAACTCACCCCGTTGTGCAGATTCGAACCGGCGACCTTTCGATCTACCAGCCCAGCAGCACAGCGGTTCGAACCACTGTGCCACCTGCAGTCCCGCTTTGCATGGATACATGGATGTATATGAATATGAACTGCCATAGGCCCATTCACATTGAATCAGCATCATTTCCACCTTGAACACGCATAGTCTTCCCAGCATCATTTCTTCCTCCTGTTAGATCCCACACCCTCCAAGAGGCAGAGAATTTACGTGGCTGTTTCCAAGTCACCTTCTCCCTCGGTAACCCTGTCATAGCAACCCACAACTGTGTTCGCAAGGAACTCCAACAACTCCAACTGGCAGGCTGTGATCCGACAAGCACAAGCACTTTCTGCTTCCAACATTTGTTGCTCAGCCAGCTGGGAGAGAAAGAAGAGAGACCATAACAATGGGAACGTATTTAGCTTCTGAAGGCTAAGTCTGCCAAGTACATTCACCATTTTTCCTCAGATCCATTCTGCTAATGTCTCTCACCGCAAGGGACTCACACATGCAAGTGTGCCTAGAACACAACCCTGGCACACACAAAATAAACCTGGCAAGCAATGTCGCACAGGGTGTTACCTCACACTGCTCAGGTGCTCCAGAAAAGCAATGCAAACGTAGAGGCAGAGAGAGCGTGCCCTTGGAATATTATCTTCAAACGCTCTGATTATGTGCTGTGATTTCTCTTTTATGAACACCAATTAACTGAGAGGCAATGAGCATCCCCTGCGAAGGTTTGTTGAAAAGCATTCTGTGATATTTCAGGCCCAAGCATTTTCCAAGTGCTTAGCTGGAAGAAGGATTTTAACAAAGCCACTGCTTTTGGTCTCAGACGCAACCATATGAAATGGCTACCCATCAGAGGAGTCTTGCATGGGAACCCAAACCGACTGATGCTGGTTCCGGGGGGCAATGAGCCAGGTCCCATTTCTGGCTCTGGGTAGGCCCCACCAGAAGAGCCAAACATCAAACTGAGGTTCTTGGTCCCATTGTGAAGTGTTTAGGAAATGCATTTGCACATGCAAAAAAACCCCAGATCTATTTTCAAAAACCTCCATCACGGTCCCCACGATTTACCCAGGCCACCCGTAAATGATCCTTTTTCTGTGCTGTGTGGCAGTAGGAAAAACACAAAGAGAGGCTGCATTATTGTGTGATTACCTTGCCTCATTCTCCGAATTTTCCTGGTAGGATGAGTGTGTTCCAACAATGCCGTCTTCCACTTCTAATCCCTCCATGCTTTTCTACCACGCTTCCAACCTTTTATCCTTCCACCAACAAACAAATAAAAAAAAAAGGCACTGGGGGTGAGGAAGACAGAATAGCTTTACTGTTTCTTAGATCTGCATCACAAGGGGCCTTCCTACTCTCCCCAGCTTAGGAATGCTTTTGCTTTTTGCTCCACAAGCATTTGGATGGTCTGCTCAAAACCACAAGGGCGTCCTTTTCCAGCCCAGTCCACAATATCACAGCTTCGGATGAATGAGCTGCCATTTCGTCATACCTTAGCCACAAGAGGAAACAGCCAGTAAGCAAGATCAAACAGAATGGGCGAGCTGCAACCTCAAAGGGGTCGGTCAGTCAATCAATCAATCGATCGATCGGCGAGCAGCTTCAGGGCCTGCTTGGTTCTTGTCCAATGCGCATTTCCGTGATGGTTTGCAAGTGTAGCAGGGAATGAAAATAAAAAAAATTAAAGAGAGCAGCTCTTTCGACCAACGGGTGGGAGCTTCCTATTCAGCTGTATGTTATCGCAAAATGCAGCCCATATTTAGGTTTTGATAATAGGGCCTATAGAGTCAGTTAAAAGGAAGTCGAAGAAGCATTATTTTAAGCATAAAGCAGCCTTCTTTACATAAGAAGTTGCCTTACACGAAAGTAGACTGCTGTCCACACAACTCAGCACGGAGTAACGGCAGTGGCTCTCCGGATTTCAGACGGGGTCCTTCACGCCTTTTTCCAAGCCCATACGCTTCTGAGCCCAATTCAAGGTGCCAGTTTTGACCTGTAAAGCCTTATATGGCTCAGGACTGGAATACCTGAGAGCGTCTCCTCCAGGATGAACCTAGCAATATACTACGATCAACTTCCTTAGGCCTTATTCAGAATGCCTCCTCGCAGGGAGCTTTGGAAGGCAGCAAGGAGGGAGGAAACCTTCTCGGTGGTGGCCCCCTGCCTGTGGAACACTCTTCCCAGCAAGGCCCGCCTGGCACCAACGCTGTCCCCTTTCAGTGCCGGTCAAGACTTCCCTCTAATCCCAGGCGTTTGAAAACCTTTGATGGGCTTTCTAGGCATCTATTTGTCTTAATTATGGTTCTCATGATGCTTTAGTTGTCTTGATCACATTTTGGCAACCTAATGAAAATAGGTTTTACCTGTTTTTTATGTTTTAATATTGCTGCTGTAAGTCATCTTGGGTCTTTCTTAAAGAATGGTATCTCGAGGAGAAGGAGACGGCAGTGGCGGAACAAATACCTGTGGATTCCAGGGACTAAACTTGGGACTGTTTGCATGTATCTAATACTGACTTACAGCCCCTTCCCACAAGACAGAGGGCAAAGGAGCAAGCAGATTTGGCGGCAGCCTGACCTACCCTGGAGAAGTCACAGAGAAAACACTAAAAATAGCTGCTAAGCAGAACACAATTTAAATTTGCATTGGGGAACCTTTCCATTCTTGCAAACTGCACTGGGAATAATATTGAAAGGGCGGCACCAAAACGATTAAAGAATAATGTTATGAAATGGGTCTTCTTTCTTCCCACCACATCCTGGAAGAGCGAAGAAGAAGAAGAAAAAAAAGCAGATGGTAAAGAGGCTGAGGTCTGAGACCCCATTTTCAGTGCAATCGCTGTTCCCAAAAGCAAATACTTATAGCTGGGGACATTGAACAGGTATCAGCAGCTCTTAAGACAGAACACTGCCCTGTGATGCAACACCTCACTGAAGACCGTTACTCGAACCACACGGGGAAGACAAACACCCAGCCCCAGGTGCTTGTCCATCCGAGGAAACAAAAGAGGAACCGCTGCGATTGCATCACACGGCTGTGTCCGATTTCACAATCGCAGAGTCAGTTTCCTAATCATTCATTCATTCACTCATTCACAGTGCAGCTACCCTAGCTCAACATCCATGCTAAAGATCTTTCTGTGCAGCTCCTCCCTGCTAAGGTCAGCAAATGACCTGGAGACGGCAAAACTAGCGCTATTCTGAAAACCAGTTTCAGAAAGCGGGGAAGATGAGTTCCTCAGCTGAACGGCCCTTTCGGTTAAAGCCTTATAGCTACTTTCAGTTCTCACCATGAGCACTTCAGGATTACACCCAAGTGTGCCTGCCGTACTGAAAATAAAATTGCAGCTGTCTCAAAGAAATCTTAGCTCAATTGCATGGAGTTTCAGAGGGACTGAACAGGAGTAAAAGCGATAGTTCTGGAGCAAGAAACATACTTTGTGTTGCGACAACACCCACATATTTTGTAGCTTCTCAGAAGAGGTATTCCTTTCTGGTTGAGAAAGGAAAAAAGCCATTGTAAGATCTCAAGAGCGGCTGTGGAACACTCCCCCTAAAGAGGTACAACCGGTTTCAGTTCTGCAACAGTTCTGATGCCAAGTCAAAACTGCTCTGTTTGCCTGGGCATTTTAAGTCAGCCACTCTGTTCTAAAACACCTTAACTGCTTTCCAAACGTTCTTTTACAGTAGCATTTTTATTTGTTTACTTATTTGATTTATAGGCAGACTTCATTTCCTGCAAGCCAATTTCTTGTTCTGCTATCTATGCAATGAAAGGTGCTCTGCAAAGATTGTAATAAATAAAATTTAAAAATAAAACAGTATATGCAATGAAGTTTTGAAAGTATTATTGTAAAAATAATGGTTGTGCTGTTTAAATCTGTGGAGTCATTTGGTGGGGCCTGTCTCTTTTTATTATTTATTTATTAATTATGACTATTAAAACCTTTTGTATGCTGTACTATTATACAAGATCTCAGGACAGCTTGCAATTTTTACAAGTCTTTGAGAGCGGGAAGGATCATGCATTGCGCTTAGATTACTACCCCGCACAACTACCTTAACAGTTACAGTCAGTAGCCACCAGATATTTCAGACTGCAATAATTAGCATTTAGCATGCTCCAAAGGCTCAGGTAAAGGCAGGTCCAGCTTTCAAGCCATCATTCCTTTCTCCTAGTCGCCCTTTGGTCCACCGTGAACGCTTCACCTGGCTCTGCGTAACAACTTCTCCATTCCATCTTACACACTGAGGACGGGGGCTGCCCCCTGACCCCCCCCCCCATTCCTAGACACTTGGCCTGCACACCCTTCAACAGGCATCCGAGTTTGGAACCACAGTCATGGCTTCAAAAATATTGCACAAGGCCACGCTGTTGTTGATGTTGCAGGAACGGAGCGACTGCTTTCTCAGCACAACCGCCATCAAAAGACCTCACTGCATTTCCATTAAGTTTTCAAGTGGAAGAAACAAACTGCAAACAACAGGTTAAGTATCCCTGTTAAGAACATAGAATAACAGAGTTGGAAAGGGCCAGGGGGCCGCTGTGGGGTGTGGTGGTGAAGAACGTGGGCCTGGGACTCAGGTGACCTGGGTTCTGGTCCCCACTCAGCCATGGAGCCAACTGGGTGACTCTGGGCCAGTCGCAGACTGTTGGCCCAGCCTACCTCACAGGGCTGTTGTTGTGGGGATAAGATAGAGAGCAGGAGGAAGGGAATGATGCCAGCTGCTTTGAGTACTTTTAAAAAGAAAAAGGTGGGATAGAAATCCAATAGACACATTGGGTCCAACTGCCTGCCAATGCATTCTCGTTCTGCAACAGAAGCCAAGGAAAAATGTTCAGTGAACAGCTCACATTTTACAGGAACTTCCCCTTCCTGTTCACGCAGTGGGCAGAGTCTACAATTTCTACTCTCCTGTTAAGTATGAAGCGTCTTGGCCTTCCCCACGACTGTGGAGTTGTGGGGAAAGAAACACGCCATCACCCCACACTCCAGCACGCTTCTGTGGAGTGCCAAGGTACGCTCCGAACGATAACCAAGCCAGCTTGTCTCAGCCCAGCCCGATCTTGGAGCTGCCGCAGGAGAAGAGAATGTCTGAGAAGTTGCACAAGGCTTTGAAGGTGCTTCGACAGCATCCCCCACCTTCCTGCCCATCTCCTAGGACAACACCCAGAAAATCACAGGGCAACTTCTGAAGACCTCAAGGGCAGAGAATCTGCAGGGCAGCACCTTCCTTACTAGAAGCTTGGCCTGGCAACTGGGGATGAAAACTAAACCCCCATCTTGTATCAAGCCAGGTATTCCAGCTTGCAATATGCTGTTTTTTACATGAGTATGATTATTTGCATATCTTTATAGGCCGCCTAGAATTGCTGAATAATGATATTATTAAGGAATAATTTTTTCTGCAATTAAAATCTGTGTGTATTTTTCACTCTCTTTACTGAAACACGGGGTTACTGGGAGGCTGGAAAGTTCCTGCAATGGCCATCTGACACTTTCGTGTAGCAACTCTAGTAATGCATACGTTGGTTGGAAAAATAGTTGGCTGGGATCTACTATTGTTAGCTGGGATCTACTATTGACTTCTGTCATCCAAAACTAAAAAGCTTTGATCACAGAAAAAGTGACTAATTGAGGGAATTCGTTTTTTTCACTAAAAAAAGAATGCTTTGGAGAAAACCAGTTGTGTTTTTGCATGGTACCAAACACACAATTCTAATGTGAGCACATCCTCCGGTTTACCTTGTTCCATAAAGTTTTGTGTATGTTTTCTTATGTGCGACAGGTATCCGGCTATGTTTGGTAGACATCAGGATAACACAAAGGGTAACATAAATCCCAGAGATTTGAATTCTGTGAATCACTCATCTGTTGTGTTCACGGCTAAGCTGAGATTTGGACCCTTGCAGGCTGTTAACCATTATTCGACGCCACGCCTGAAGTGCGCAGCAAAACTCTGACCGTCGGGAGACAGGTAACGGAATAGTGCTTGGACAATCACTTTCTGTACTCTGCCTCCGAACCGTCCTGTGTCAATACATTCTAGCGTGGCTGTTTGAACAATGTTTAATAATAAACAGATTTGAACAACACAAGAATAAGAACAGAATTACAGCTCTCACTGAAGACCAATACATGAGATTTCAATGAGGGGTCAAGCAACCCTAACGGTCCGAAGAACAAGAGCTTGCCTCCCTCTTCTAAGCTGCAAATTTTGTATTTAGTATATGGCGCCCCATTCGTCTTGCATCATGGGATATGCATATGGACATATGCCATGGCCCATCCTGAGAGACAGTGTGGTATAGTGGTTAAAGTGCTGGACAAGGACTCAGGAGATCAGGTTTTCAGGGTCCACTCGGCCATGAAGCTCACTGGGCCAGTCACTCACTTTTAGCCAGACCAACCTCACAGGGTTGTTGTGAGGATAAAATGAGAGGAAAGCCCTATAAGCCGCCCTGCATCCCTTGCAAAAAGAATAAAGGTGGATAGAAATGTAATGAAATAATATTTCCTTTTATTGCTGCAAGACCAACAAAAAAATGGGATGCATTTCCCACCTGGCATAAGGAAGAAATTTAAATTTTCTGGATATAGTGCAGTGAATGATTTGGATGCGGGAGAATCTTTTGTTACTATACTCTCCTCCAATGTGCAAATATTTTTAAACTCCAAAGAAGCAAAATGCAACCCTTTAAAAGAGTCCAGTTCCTAAAGCAGCTTCATAGCAAATTCTCTAAGGGAGAGAGGCATTGTGTTAGCATCTTTGTTGGATACACCAGACTGGTTTAATTGTTATGTAAATTACACTCGCTCTGCCATCAAATTTCTCTTAATGGGCCATTCATCACTGCAAAGTTTTCTTTGAAGGAACCAGCTGCTCTCCCTTAGAGGTCTCCCAAAACATCTTAGGTTTCAAAAAACAGCGGAATCACCCTGAAGTAAAATAAGTGAGAGAGAAATCTCAAATTCACAAACTCATTTCACTCCCTCTATTGCATGGAAGGAAGTTAACTAACCGTTAAATAGACTATGGGTTGCTAACAGCCTGATTCACAAATCAGTTAATCTGAGCTACCTGGACATCCCCATGGCAAGACTTGATACAAACATGGCCCACAATTCTTCCGAAGGTGGATTCTGAGCCCGGTAGGTAAACAGTGCGCAATTAAATAGCACCAGTTGATGCCTGGTGAGAAAGCAGAGCTTTCACCATGACAGACTGGTTTGCAGGACAAGCTGGGCTCAGGAGGGGTCATTTAAACCATGCAGTGAGAGGGGACACACTGTGAATATACCATTCCTGGTAGGGTCACGAAGTGTCATCCAAACCTGGCCACCATGGGCTATTTGAAGGTAAACTATCACAAAAGCATTAAATTGGGAATTGGGTCAAGTCATGGTATCCTAAGATCTCCTTTTATTTTACTATATTAAGGAGGCTAGTTTACATGGAGAACCGGCCTGACTGGCTTCTTGGGCCTGGCCGTAAATGGAATCGGTTTTTGAACGGGCCAAATGCTCCCTCGCAGAGCAGCATTACATGGAAGCAGGAACAGCGGACAAGCTTTCTCAAAGGTGCTTGTTGGCCATTATTAAACTGGTCAGCATAATTCCCATAAGTTTCTTCCCGGGACACAGTTTGAAAACCGTGGCTACACAGCAAGAATTCCTTTTCTTTCTTGAGCAGTCGGAGTAAATCCGCAAACCGCCCGGTGTGTGTGAGTGTGTATGTGGGGAGTTTCCAACAAAGTAGAAAGAATCACACCTCAGGGCTTATGAATTTGGTCCAGCTTCTAAGCCCTGCAAGCATCTTAAAAGACACATTAACGCTGAGCTTCCAATTGTTCAACCAGCATTAAAATGTGCCAAGCGGGCACTGACAACAAAATATTGTGCACGATTCCCAACCCCTAATTAAAAGTGTGCTCTTGCTTAGCTCCATTCAGCCTTAGTCAGGAATCTGAGCCCTCTGGGGTGCACAGAGGACCAGGAAAAGACACATAAATAACTTGGGGTCTTGGGATTAGGAGAAGAGTGCAATCTACACGTTTCTACTTTTCCCCTATACTATAAAGCACTAATGGGCTTAAGGTCGGAGCTGGCTGTCAGTCACAATCTTGACTGCTATGCAGAAGGGAGGAATTCTGAAGAGTCCAAAACAACCAAAGGCGCCCTTTTCTCTCTCCTTCCTTTCTGCGAGAAGGCTCACCCCCACACACAACCTTTGCCCTGCCTTCGTGCTAACCTAAGCGGCCAAGGGTTTTCCGCAAGCCCTCTCCCAACCCCAACACCCCTAGCATTTCGGGAGTCCACTGTCCCACCAAGCACAACCCGTTCCTGTTTCTCTCTCTCAATGGACAACCAGGCCTGCGAATTCAGGCCCGTGGAAGCCAGCACCTTGTTTCTCGGTGGTCTTGTTTTGCTGTTGCAGATGTGTGCGCCCTGGGAAGGCACAAGCAGGCTGTGAAAAGCAGCCTTGTCATGTGGAAGGTTCCCACTCCGGGTTCCGGCCAGATGCCCACCCTAACCCTCCCCTGTAATGTTCCGTTCCATTTCCCCTTTCCTCTCTTCCGCTCTGCACACTTGGCATTCTGTGGTCATCCACATACTCAGACTCTGTTGTGTTATTGTGCAGTTGCCTCGCACTGAGCGGGCAGATAACATGGCCCTTTTTTTGGGGGGGGGGGGCGAGTTTTAGCTGCAAGACTGCCAGCCAAATTAGCTATTAGGGTAGGAGGTGGCAACCAGCTGTCCCACACATTTTCTGGCTTACCACTCCCATCCTCCTTCACCACCAGCTATGCTGGCTGGGGCTGATGGGCAGCTGAAGGCAACACATTTGGAATACCACACATCGAGGAAGTGATGAGCGACTATCATTGGAAACACATGGCCTGCCATGGATCAAAGTCCCTAACTTTACATGTTCTCCATAAACTGTCCTTTTTCATGGTAAATATAAACACATGCTTAATATAATGCATGAGGCTGTGATCCTTGACTTGCTGACTAGGATGAAGGTCTCTTTGGACTTTCAGGAACCACAGTGTAGAATGGAATTGTACGCTTGTGAAAGGGACTTATAAATATATTGTCTAGTTTTATTTGGCTTCCGCTCCAGTACCAAATCTTCACCTCGGGGGAAAGCAAACCGGGTCACAAGAGAGAAGTTTCACGAGATTACGTAGGAGAAATGGTAGTGAAACAATAATTCCACACTTACCCAAACTACGAACCTGCGAAGGCCTAAACCCCTTCGAAGACCAATAAAAGCACATGTGCAATGGAAAGTTAATCTCCAAAAGGACACATCAGCGAACTGTTCCAAAGGCAGTTTTTAAAAGGAGAGGGACTGACAGAGTTAATAGAAAATGAAGAAACCTAAAAGCTGAGCTTCAGTCTTAACGCAACCCCCAAAGTCAACGCTGCTACCTTGCAGTCTGCTGACGTGAATGGAGAGTCAAATCCAACAGGAAATACCTCGGTATGCTTTGTTAACTTAAAGGAATCATCATAGTTTCTTGAAACCGATGGGCCAGGCAAACAGCAACTTTCCACATGCTTAAAGTCCACCCTACCAAACCGGTAAAGCTGAGCGACATGATGTTCA